GTAAAGACACCAAACCAAAGGAAAAACGATTACAGAAAGAATTGGAAGTTTCCCATAGGCCACATAGAGCGAAAATGCCAAGACCTAACTTTGCCAAATGGGGTTATTTTGCCCAAGTGTTGGGCCTTTTCCTGCTCAGTAGACCGCCAGCACTCGGTACAAGACACCAAACCAAAGGAAAAACGATTACAGAAAAAATTGGAAGTTTCCCATAGGCCACATAGAGCGAAAATACCAAGACCTAACTTTGCCAAAAGGGGTTATTTTGCCCAAGTCTTGGGACTCTTCCTTCTCGGTAGACCGCCAGCACTCGGTACAAGACACCAAACCAAAGGAAAAACGATTACAGAAAGAATGGGAAGTTTCCCATACGCCACATAGAGCGAAAATGCCAAGACCTTACTTTGCCAAATGGGGTTATTTTGCCCGAGCGTTGAGCCTTTTCCTGCTCGGTAGACCGCCAGCACTCGTTACAAGACACCAAACCAAAGAAAAAACGATTACAGAAAGAATTCGAAGTTTCCCATAGGTAAGTAGTATATGTCTTTTCGGATATGACCCATTTCACTTCTGCGCATGCGCAGCTTTTTCAATGCGTCATATCCGAAAAGACACAACTGTTAAAATGTATTATAACAGACTCCCTAAACTGTTAAAATGTATTATAACAGACTCCCCAAACTGTATTATAACACACTCCTCCAAACTGTATTATAACAAACTCCCCAATTATAAATTACCCAAACCACAGATCACTAATAATAATACAGTAAAAATAACCGCATTAAATTTTTTTATTTTAAAACACGAAAAAAAAATCGAAGGAGACGGTTTCTTCTCTGCGCTAACATCTCTCATCCCCAAAGTGGCCAATTTTGTATCAAACAACATCAGATGCGCAAGCTGTGGCAAAAGCAGGAGTAAATATTAGCGATGCAGTGAAAAAATCTGACGAACTTAAAGAACTGCAGTTAATAAGAGAACCAAGAAATAAGAGACTAGAACGACAAGCCCTAGAAAAACAAGGAAAAGGGTTTAAAATCATTGGATAAAAATGGCAAGCAAAAATTACAGATTGGATCCAATCTTTCAATTGTATGATCCGATTCAATATTCGTTCAACAAGAAGAAAGAGGATTACGTAATCATCTCACCATCGGTAGGGACAAAGACCCAAATAAACGACGGAGGAAGAGTTACCTTTGAAATTATTTCGTTGTCCAATTGGTTGCTGCTTTCCGATGCCCATTTCCGAGGCGATTTCAAAATCAAAGACGCCGCTCAGAATCGAATTCCACAAACCAACACGACTTTAGAAAACAACTTCTTTCCGTCTTTATTCAGCGAAATGGTTTTGGAAGCTGGTTCAAATCCGATAGAGACCATAAAACACCCCGGCGAGTTTGACACAATGTTGAAAACGGTTCGCTATCCCAAAAACTACGATTCAGTTTCGGGATGGATTCCCGATGTCGGTGACGGAGAAGTTTAAAAGAAC